CCCCCCCCCCGTGGGGTCTTCTGCCTCAGGGGGGGCTGCTTGTAGGCCAGTGCTCCGATGGGGATCGCACGCACGCCTGGGCGAGGAGGAGGAGGAGGAGGAGGAGGAGGAGGAGGCGGAGGATTGTGAGGTCAACCCTCCATCCAGCCAAGGTGAAGACCGCGGCGTGGCGAGCGCAACGGCGGGGCACAGGCAAGCCCTAAATACGGCAAAACGTGTCGAGGTCAACAGTGGCACCAGCCTTTTTAGGATGGAGCCCACGTTCCAGCTTCGTCCACGGACTGCTGTGACAAACTTTCTTGTCCGGCTTGCAAGGCTTAGCCAAGTTAGCCAGCCTGGCACCTGACGTCGTGTACTTACAGCGCTGGCAGACACACCCACACACAAAAGAGCCGTCGGAGCAGTCTAAGACCACGCAACGGTGCCCGAGCTCACGGAGGGCCGCTGGCTGCACGCGCAAAGCCAGGGAGCAGGAACCCCCAGCCGGCAAGCGCATCGAGTTCCCCCTTCCTCCATCTCAAGCAAGCAGCGCACTGCCGAAAAAAATGCCCACCCAGAGCCACCCGTGGGGGGTGGTCGGCGCCTGCGAAGGCGCAGGCGGGGCAGACATACGCTGGACGTCTGGCCCCATGTCCAGGCGAGGCCAGAATGGGAGCAGCTTGGCAGGAGGAGGAGGAGGAGGAGGAGGAGGAGGAGGAGGAGGAGGAGGGATGCAACGTCCCGTCTTACAATCGTGGCCTGTTTATGACTTCGTCGCGGCACGATCTTGGCTCGGCAACGCGGCCTTGAATCGGAAACGGGATTCCTTCGGGCTCGCCCGCTCCTCCCTTCTCTTCCTCTTCCCCTCCTCCTCTTCTTCCTGATTGTCCTCCCCCTCCATAACTTTCGTTATCCTCCTCTTCCTTTCTGTCTTCGTCCCCGTCCCCATGCCCCTCCTCCTCCTCCTCCTCCTCCTCCTCCTCGTTTTCCTCCTCCTCCTCCTCCTCCTCATCATCATCTTCGTCCCCCTCCTCTCCCTCCTCCGATTCTGCCCCTTGCATTTATGCTCCTTCCGCCGGCTGGGAATGCGCCTCAGGAACGCGTCCAGCAGCTCCAGCTGGTCGCACCAGCGTGCGAGGCTCCCTGCCAGCCTCGAGGGGGGGGGGGGGGAGCAGGAGGAGGCAGAGGAGGATGCGAAGACGGACGAGGAGGAACCCAGCGTGCGAGGGGAGCGCGCGTCTCTCCTTGCGTCCCGCCCGCGCCGCTGGCCGAGCCACTCCGGCTCGTGAAGCCGACGTCTAAGGAACTGGCGTTGATGTTGTAGCTGATGAAGGCGTTCAGCTGGAGCTCGAAGCCAGCGTCGCCGTCAGGAACGAGTTCGCCGATGGAAATCGGCAGCTTAGGAACTTCATGGTCTTCACGAGGAGGTAGTGCGTCATCACAAGTGGTCGGCGATACCTGAAGCCACTTTGATGGATGGTAGCGGTCTCCTGGGCGGATTAGGCGCGCTCACCGTGTCGATGATGCATCGGCGCGCCGCCAGTGCGCTGATGTGGCGAACGGCAACCCTGCCACGGATGTCGCCTGCCAGTGCCTCCACAACCGACGTGTGTCTATTGCGTAGCTGCGCAGTCCTGGTCCGCGCCGCCTCGCAAGTGCCTCGAGCTCCGAGCCAGTGGGCGTCGGGAAGTGACGTGGGCAAGTGTGGGGCGTGCGAGCATGGAGGTTCACGAGGTCGGGGCGGTCCAAGAAGGCAACCGTACATGGGGCGCACCCAGTCGGTCCAATCGTGAAACCACTCCAGCTCGTGAGGCCGACGTCCAGGGAGCCGGCGTTGATGTTGTAGCTGATGAAGGCGCTCTGCTGGAGCTCGAAGCCAGCGTCGCCGTCAGAAACGAGTTCTCGGATGGAAATCGGCAGCTCAGGAACTTCATGGCCTTCATGAGGAGGTATTGCGTCATCACAAGTGGTCGGCGATACCTGGAGCCACTTCTCGTGGCTGGGGTCTAGAACCTGGGATCTTGGTGGGGTAGTCCTGGAGGATGGCGAAGTATGCAGCAACCTCCCCGCGATCGTCATCAGGAAGGACGGGGATCAGCTGGGTGGTCACGTTGGCTGGCGCGTGGGCCCAGAAGCTGAAATCTCCTGCAGCCTCCAAAGACGCAGCAGAGCAGTTCGCCATCTCGAAATACTTCTGGAGCTGTGGGTCGAGGAAGATGCGAGGCCTCCAGCCTGAGGTTCTCGTGCTGCACGCGGAGAGTGGCGCGCTTAGATTTCAGCTCGAGTGCATCCAACGACGACGCCATCATTGGCAATGCAACGCGCAACTCTGCATTTCCACTGAGATCATCTGAAGCAGCTCGCAGTAATCGTCGCCGGGCGTGTTGTTGAAGAGGTGGTCGAATATTGTTTGTCTCAGCTGTGATTCTGTAGCGCTAACACGTCGTTCCGTTTAACGCTGCCCGTCGTCCAGGCACTCGCCCTGGCAGTGAAAGCTCGGGCGCCATTGCTCGGATACCTTGACAAGAATCCGCTGCAGGGCCTCGCAAGTCGTCGAAGGCGTGGCCGGGAATGCTCGGCAACGACCGCGCGAGCGACTGAAAGAGGTTGTCGCCGAGGGGAAACAGCTCCAGCAGCGTGCTTTTCTCGCAGCCGCGTTGAATAGTTTTGAAGGAACTTTATGATTTGTTATTGGGAAGGGGCTATCAGGCACAGCGCCAGCGCTGGCATGGTCCTTCTTCTGTCTTGGCAGCAGGCAGTCTGTCGCGAGAAGACTGCTCCCGTTCGACTCGCCTTCGGCATGATCAACCACTTGTGGACCATGAGGTTACTATTCTTCTTCGTGCCGAGCAACAACGATCGGAGGCCATCTTTTGTATGCCGGTATGCCCCATATGGCGAATGGATGGTAGCGGTCTCCTGGGCGGATTAGGCGCGCCCAGCGCGTCGATGATGCATCGGCGCGCCGTCAGTGCGCTGATGTGGCGAACGGCAGCCCTGACCCAGGCGTCGCCTTCCAGTGCCTCCACAACCGGCGTGTGTCCATTGCGTAGCTGCGCAGTCGAAAACAAGCATGTCGAGCCAAAAATGGCGACGGTGGAGGAGGAGGGGGAACAGGAGAGAAAAGAAGATGTATTACACCTGAGAAAATCCCAATCAGTGGATGATTTCAAAATTCATACTATGGATATTGAGATCGTTTGTGAGATCGATAATGAGATCGATAGTGGAATCAATAGTGAGGACGATTGTAAGGTCGATCGTGAGACCGAAAGTGAAATCGATTCAATGAGATCGATAGTGAGATCAATCGCGAGATCGCTCATGCGATCTCTAGTGAGATCGCTTGTGAGATTGATGGTGAGATCGATTGTGGTATCGATGGTGAGATCGATCGAGAAGTCGGTAATGAGATCGATGGTGAGACCGATCGAGAAAAAGATCGACCAAGAACCCTAAAATCCGGGAACCTCGCCGCCCTCCGAAATCGGCCCGGAACCCGGAACCGTAAACCCGGGAACCCGGAATCGGGAACCCGGGAACCCGGGAACCCTGCCTGCCACCAAAATCGGCGGGGAACTTTCGCCAAATCCTTCAAAGTCCGCTAGGGCCCCTTCAGTGCAAGCACTGATTGGGGAATCTGATGATGGTGATGATGATGATGATGATGATGATGATGATGATGAAGATGTTGATGCTGATGATGCTGATGTTGATAATAACGGTGATGATGACGATGCGGGTGCTGTTCATGACGACGATGACGATGACGATGATGATGGTGATGATGATGGTGATGACGATAATGCTGATGGTGGTGATGATGCTGATGATGCTGATGATGGTGATGCTGATGATGGTGCTGCTGGCTGATGATGGTGATGGGTGATGGTGATGATGATAAGGGGGCGGAAGATGAGGAGGAAAGTCCTGAAGGCACTGATGATGTGGCCTGTTCCCGTGGGCCCTGGCAGGCTGGACGGAGGCGATGCCTCAGTCCTTGCCGGAGCAGCGGAGGCCAGGCCCCGATGTGCCCCGCCGATGCAGGGAGAGCATGAACTGCCGAGCCCCGGGTGGGCCCTGCAGCCGCGCCCCGATGGGCCAGGTTGCAAATACTGCCAAGCACCGAGCTTCCGCCCGAGCGCAGCAACGGCGCCGAGAGAAGGCGACCACCCGCGGTGCGCACGACACCCCGCAGCCATGCCGAGCAAACGGAAGAAACGCTGGCAGTGCCCCGATGGGCAAAGTAAGGCGCGGCAGACCCACTCATCCCTCGCAGACGTTGACTTCGATTCCGGGCCGATCACCGCCTTGAGCATTGGGAGGGCTTTGCCGATGCTAGGCTCAGAGGGCGCGGGCGGCTCGGATCCAGGAAAATATGTCGCATGCCGATGCCGGGGGATCTCGACAAGCACCCCCGTGGGAAGTGCGTCCCCTTTTTCATAACTCTCACTGGGCGCCATGGCGTAGGGCACCACCTCGGCGACACTGGTCTTGTTATTCCTCTTTTCCCTGCCCTGCTTCCTGGTGCCGCTGCGGTCCGAAACGCCGCGTTCCTCCCGCCGCCTGCCCTCCGCGACCCGGCAGGGGGCGGTCCACGAGGCGAGCGAAGAGTTCTCTTCCTCGTCCTCCTCCTCCTCCTCCTCCTTCTCCTCCTCCCTCCTTCTCCTCCTCCTCCTCCTCCTCCTACTCCTCCTCCTCCTCCTTCTCCTCCTCCTCCTCCCCCTCCTCGTCCTCCTCCTCCTCCTCCTTCCTCCTCCTCCTCCTCCTCCTCCCCTCCTCGTCCCGTCCTCCTCCTCCTCCTCCTCCTCCTCCTCCTCCTCCTCCTCCTCCTCATCATCATCATCATCATCGTCATCCCGCGCACTGGAGCACGCCCCGATGTAGAACTCTTCGGCGACTCGCTCTTTCCCGGCCGCATTGGTGGCCGCCTGCCTCGCCTCTCGGGGGAGGTCCCCGCTGTCGTCCGAGCTCTGCGAGCTCTTGGCCCCCTTCGACTCGTGAAGCCTCGGGTTGGGAGCCACAAGCACCCCTGGGTCCTGCTTGTCCTTGATGTCCATTGTGATCACGTCCTGGTTCTTCTTCGCGCCCAAGCTTCTCTGCGTGGCCCTCTCCGCTTCCACGAACGGATTCGGGACGCCCTGTCTCACTACCTGCGTGTAATTACAGCTGTCATCCATTGCAAGACCACCCTGAACGCGCATCTGTGCAAGTGGCACCCCGTGTAGACCCACGCCTGAGTCCCCTTGATGGGAGAAGGAGGAGGAGGAGGAGGAGGAGGAGGAGGAGGAGGAGGAGGAGGAGGAGGAGGAGGAGGAGGAGGAGGAGGATTTTTTTGGCCGCTGCGCTGCTCTGCCACGATTATTCCCAGTCCTCCTGGCGGCCAGCCAGGTAGCCGTCGAGCCCGACACTTGAGACGCGGCCAGCGCAGGAGAGGTCCATGCACGCGGGGCTGCCTGCATTCGATCGCTGCAGGCCACGAAGCCCACAGGCGCAGGTCCTGCGGGCCACCCGACGGGGCACGTGCCCCCGTGGCCAGGACCAGGAGGAGCACGTTCTCCGCGAACGGCGCGCGAGACAAGGCACGCAAGGAGGCCATGCTCCGCGCGCCCTGCTCGGGGTAGGGGGCGCCGGAGGCCGTGCTCCGGCGCCCAGCCTACCCACCACCCACTCCGTGGGTGGCCGCGGCGACGAGGAGCAATTTTGTCTTCCTTGGCCCCCCCCACAGGCAAACAAGGGTGACGATCGGGCTGCCACCCGCTTGTTTTTCTGGGAAGGGGTCCCAGTTGCACAGGTGCCAGGAGGAGAAGGAGGACGAAGACGAGGGGGAGGAGGAGGAAGGGCAGGCGGAAGAGGAGGAGGAGGATGAGGCAGAGGAAGAAAACGAGAGGTCAGAAGAAGAGGAGGATGCGGCAGATAAGGAGAAGGAGGAGGAAGAGGAGAAGGAGGAAGCGGAGGCAGAGGAGGAGGGTGGAGGAGGCAGAGGAGGAGGAGGCAGAGAAAGAGGAGGAGGCAGACGAGGAGGAGGAGGCGGAAGAAGAACCGGAGGAGGATGGGGACAGAGAGGGCCAACACACACCACACACATGCACACACACACACGCACACACATACGAACACACACACACAAACGAACATACACACACAAACGCACACACATACCTTCAACAAAGCGCACACTAACACACAAACACACCAACACACACCAACACACACCAACACACAACAACAGACACACACCAACAAACCAACACACAACAACACACACCAACACACACCACCACACACACACGCACACACATACACACATACACACCAACACACACACACACCAACACACACCAACACACACCAACACACACACACACCAACACACACACGCACCATTCCACACGCACACCAATACAGACATCAACACACAGACATCAACATACACCAACACACATACCAACACATACACAACACACAACAATACACATCAACACACAACAACACAACGCACAACACACAACAACAGAACACACAACACACATCACACAACACACACACACCTGGCACACACGACTGACGCTGGAGTGCAGCGTTCCCGTCCCAGGCCCCCACTCATATGTCCATGCCGCTGTTTCGCTTCGTGACTGCGAGCACCAACTTCGGAGGTGAGGGCCCCATGGGCCCGCACGGTTCGATGTGCCATGATACGCGCGTCAATGATAGAATTCATGTGCGGTTCCTTTGCGGTACCACACGTGCTCATTAACCTTGGAAGATTAAGTTGCATATTGCCCTCCACCAGTGTAGCATGCAGGCGCTTGAAGAACAAAAACGCCCGCGGCGCCATGGTGGTAACTCGAATGTGAAAACGGAATCGCGCGCCATCCGTGCAGGTCCTAGAAGCTTCACGCGCCGTTCCTTCTGTTGGCTGTCGTCTTACACTGTGTGCTGGCTGTGCTGTTTGTGCCTCTTCAAACCATACCATGGTGACCGAGAAGGCGACACTCCCGCACCAGAGGCCGACATCGAATAGCAACACGCCTCCGTCCATTTCGATATCTATGGCCATGCAGCGCAAGGAAGCATCAACCGATATTGGCCTTGCGGAGCAGGTACGGCCTTGAGGAGGGAAGGAGAAGGGAGGAGGGAGAAATAGGGGGAGGATGAGGGAGGAGGAAGTCAGGAGGAAGAAGAAAGGGGGGATGAGGAGATGGACCCGGGAGGGGAGAAGGGAGGGAGGGAGGGAGGGAGGAGAAGGATGAGGGTGAGGAGGAGGAGGAGGAGGAAGAGAAGGAGGAGGAGGAGGAGGAGGGGGGAGGAAAGGAGGACTAGGGAGGACGGGAGGAGGACGGGAAGAGGGAGG